TTTCAGCTGCAGCTTCCCAGCCTCCTCATATTTTCCTTGGTCTGAATATGTGACTGCAAGATTTGCCATGCTGGTCAATGTATCTGGATGTTCTGGCCCCAACAACCTTGTACGCAGATCCAAGACTTTCAGCTGCAGCTTCCCAGCCTCCTCATATTTTCCTTGGTGTGAATATGTGACTGCAAGATTTGCCATGCTGGTCAATGTACCTGGATGTTCTGGCCCCAACAGCCTTGTACGTAGATCCAACACTTTCAGCTGCAGCTTCCCAGCCTCCTCATATTTTCCTTGGTATGAATATGTGACTGCAAGATTATGCCATGCTGGTCAATGTATGTGGATGTTCTGGCCCCAACAGCCTTGTACGCAGATCCAAGACTTTCAGCTTCAGCTCCTCAGCCTCCTCATGTTTTCCTTGGTCTGAATAGGTACTTGCAAGATTTGCCATGCTGGTCAATGTATCTGGATGTTCTGGCCCCAACACCCTTGTACGTAGATCCAAGACTTTCAGCTCCAGCTTCCCAGCCTCCTCATATTTTCCTTGGTGTGAATATGTGACTGCAAGATTTGCCATGCTGGTCAATGTATCTGGATGTTCTGGCCCCAACAGCCTTGTATGCAGATCCAAGACTTTCAGCTGCAGCTTCCCAGCCTCCTCATATTTTCCTTGTTGTGAATATGTGACTGCAAGATTTGCCATGCTGGTCAATGCATCTGGATGTTCTGGCCCCAACACCCTTGTATGTAGATCCAAGACTTTCAGCTTCAGCTTCCCAGCCTCCTCATATTTTCCTTGTTGTGAATATGTAATTGCAAGATTTGCCATGCTGTTCAATGTATCTGGATGTTCTGGCCCCAACAGCCTTGTATGCAGATCCAAGACTTTCAGCTTCAGCTCCTCAGCCTCCTCATATTTTCCTTGGTCTGAATAGGTACTTGCAAGATTTGACATGCTGGTCAGTGTTGATGGATGGTTCATCCCCTGCTCCTTCATCCTCACTTCCACTATTTCATACTGAAGATCCTCTGCCTCTTTCCACATTCCATTTTCATAGAATACATAACTGAATTTGGAATATTCATCATCATTAAACACTCTTTTGAAGCCATTTTCCCTCTCTGATTGGTAATTTGCTTTGATGTGAGATGCAAGCATCCTGTTGAATGCAATGTTCTCAGTTGTCACCTCTTCTGTAATACAGTTTAAAAGGATCAATTTTGATACCTGCATCATGCACCTCTTTTGAGACATTGACATCCTATCTCTACTCCATTGATGCATCAATGGATGAATGGTATAGACTTCTGAAGAGCTTGAGCCCCTTTGGATCAAAGAAAAGGACATAAGAACTCTAATTCCTTCATGAAAGAAGAATTCATTCCAACACTGATCTTCTTCCAGCTGCAGCAATTGTGTGATGCAGCTTTTGACATTTTGTTTTAGTTTCCTGTGATCTCCTTGAGAGAATTCCACAGCAGCCTTTCTAAAAGCAGCCTCAATGATATTCTCATGATGTAGAAATGCAACAGTTTCAAGAATAAGAATAGCAGCCTGAGCAGCTGCTCTACCATGTCCATCAGATTTCTTGTTTGCCCTTGATTCAATTTCATTAAAAGACAAATCCCATGTTTCATAAACTGTATGATTGTACTGAGATGCTCCCCTGAATAAAGGGTGGTTCATAAGCTTTTTCCTATGTTGAGAGAGATGATCAAGATAATTGTTAATCTGACAGAGACCAGCTTGAATGGAAGCTCCTGCTTGATCAACAGCCAGAGGCAAGCAGCAGAGCTCATTTACAATCTGCTGAGCTATGATGTAAACATTTTCTGGCAACTCAGTCAGATTGCTGGCTTTCACTAAGAGTGATATGGCTTCCTTTTCAGTCATCTGATCAACTTCCAGAGAGTTTATGAAAGATGTGACACGCCCAAGAGATGGATTTCTGCTAGTAACCAGAATGTTGCCCTCAGAACCAGGTGGAATAAATTTCTCTACAACTTGAGGTGCACCATCAGCATTGTCAAACACCAGCAGCCATTGACACTGCAGAGATGCAATCCAGATAAGAGCAGACATAGAGGACACAGAGATATCAGCAGCTTTAGCCTCAGGATGAGAACAGAGACCCTTCAAACCAAGAGCAATAGTATCTTCAGAAGAAGCATCAATCCAGAAAATGTGGGAGAATCTGCATGCACTTGTCATAAAATCAGAGATATTAAATTGAAGAAACTTACCTTCCAGCCATCTCCTCAACAAACTTCAAAGAAATCTGTGTCTTTCCAATACCTCCCATGCCATATAACAAGAACGATTTTCTGCCTCTATCCCCTTCACCTTGACATGCAAAGTGATCCTTCAGCCTCTGAAGAATAAACTCGCGACCTGTAAATAGAGCACTTGAATTTGGCCTTTGGGGAACAAGGAATGTATCATCTTGACCCCTGCTGGCATGTTCATGAACATTGATCTTCACAAAAAGTCCAATCAATATTTCAAACCATCAATGCTGGGGTAACCAGACACACATTGTGAGCCACATAGAGTGTGGAATCCTTCATATCAATGTTGGCTCCTTGCATGATATTCTAGAATTTCCGAAGACAAAATGAGCTGATGAATTTGTTTGCATTGTAAACACACCAAAGAGGTACTACGCTCTCCCGTAGCTTCAGACGCCCTTGTAATCATCGACCTAGATTCCGTCAGGATGCTATCTGTATGTATGGGGTTCAGCGCCACGAACCTCGAACCGCTAGGGCGTTGATCATGTGAGCGATCTGCGCCCATGAAACGATCAAGCAATCCCTTGAACTTTCCTTTCAAACGCTTTTCGCGGGGGCGATTGAGATCAGACATCGTGGTTCAGAAGAGAGAGTCGATGCTGTGCGGCGTCAATTTTCTGAATAGGTAACGGAACCGCTTCACGGGGTCAGCTGATGTTCGAGGCCTGGATTCAAGAACAGCGCTCCGAGATCCACGCGCAGTAACGTGGTTGGGCGCCAAGTCAGCAAGCAGACGCCGGAACAAGCGCGGTCAACGGACATGTGTGAAAAATCAAACGCCAACACTGACGAAGAGAACAGATCGCGGCATTTTATTTCACATATACAAGACAACATCAAATCCAGCTGGAGACGATACTACAACATTAAGTATATAGAATTGCAAAAGACGAGGGGATGCACCTGACCCAGCATCCCAAACCTGGCGTTTATGACGACCACAGTCGGTTCCTTCACCACCATCCTAAGTAGGACGTCGCCTCACTTCTTGTCCTTTTAATTCCACTTGTGTCACTGACCCTCGAATTGCCTCGCATCCCGGCTTTCTATAAACAAGTATTGTTGACACTGATCCGCACGAGCGTTAGCTGTACTTTATGCCTGTAGGTGGATACTGATGACGCTGAATAAGGAAGCGTAGCCATGCAGCAGGCAACGAACGACGGGAACGCAAGGCTGATCTTGATTCCTCGTTGCAACATCAGTAAAATTACAAGTCCGGCTTTAGCCGCTTTCACCGCTTTTGAAAGCGTGAAAGCATGAAAGCGTTTCCGCTTTTGGAAGCCCAGGCCATATTGTTTGAAAAGGGATTTCCGCTTTCAAAAGGGACAAAAGGGGCTGAAAGTGGTTCAAAAGGGGACCATGAAAGAGGTGCAGCTTTCAAAAGGTGACTTGAAAGGGGCTTAAAAGTGAATAGATTTCTGATATTTGATAGAAACAATGGTAGTAATTACTACTAGAACGACGCTAACCCTCTAATGTCCTCGCTAACTCGAAATCAGACTCGCTGGAAGGGGTTGTGGCCTGGGGAACCATTGCCGCAACAGTCTCGCCGACCCACTGCAAAGCTTGACCATAGTCCCACCGTGCTTGCTGTGCTGTGATTGAGGAGTTGTGTAATTCAGATTCGACGTTGCGCGGAGTTGTTCAGCTGGATGGATATCGAGAGTCAGAAAGGAAGGGGGGGAGAGGAAGGAAGGACGCACTCAGGACGAGTCATCGTCTAGTAGTGGCCAAGGCATTCCACGGCATCTGCTCGTCTGCTCGTTTCGAGTGAGTAGGCATTGCGAACGTGCTTTTTGAGCCAGGCGGTGCAGGCTTGACGTGTCGCGGGTAGAGACGAGTGGTAAAAAAACACCCACCAGGCCGCCTTGACCAGATGCGAAGAGACGTCGTCCATCGTCACCGAGGTCAGGAGCGCCTTGTCAGGCGAATGCGTACTCACAGACGAGGGGAACACAAACAACCAAGCGACGACACCCCATCCATATCCCGCACCTCCACCATGATGCGCGTCCCCGGGTTCGGACCAGGGGAGAAGGCTTGATGCTCGTGGTCTAAGGGTGCGAGGTCGGTCGGTGCTGAGCGTAGTTGTAGATGTGGTCGTGCAAAACCCTAGGGAGGGCTACGCATGCACTATCAGTCCTCCTTCAGTAAGACGAGAGGAGAAACTTACAAAACGTAAGCAATGGTCTCTCTTCCTCGTTGTCCGACTCTGGGACAGCCTCAAGCGGTGAGGCCAGGAACGGGATCTGTGCAGTGCACGCTGGTCATTCGCCTGTGCGACTTTCGTTTCGGAAGGGCGAAGCGACCTGAGTGGCGTGGTGTGTACTTTGCTGGTAGCTGAAACCACCATGGGCTTGTGATGCGACGGGAGTGGCGGGGCTTGGGTGAGGCGGGCTGCTGCTTCTGGAATCAAACCTGACGACGGCGATAAGCCACGTCGATGTCATCATAAAAGGATTTGTGCTGGCCAGACACATACCCAATCGTGAAGACATCGCGCGCCAGAGGAGGGGAAGGGACAGAGGTAGTGTAACGGAAAAGTTAACAAGTCCAAAAATTTCCAAATTCGGATGTTCAACATGTCGCGTGATCGACAGCCTTCAACAAGTCTTCTTCTGATTTTGGCATGGAAAACACATCTTCTACCTCTTTAATCCTCACTGAAAATTCATTATTAGATGATAGATCTTCACCCCGAATGCTACCTATGCTACCCTATAAAATATATTGATCAACAAATTTGAAAGAGGTCCAAAGGGGGAAAGACCCGAAAGGGCGGGAAAAGGTGCCTTGAAAGTTAATTGAAAGTGATTTGAAAGTGAAAGCGCCTGGAAGTGAAAGTGAAAGGGGTTGTGAAAGTGAAAGCGCCTGAAAGTGAAAGTGAAAGGGGTTGTGATTCTACTGATGAAGGGCCTCGCCACGTCACAGGTCCTACAAAAAAACAAATCGATTAGCTTATTGTTGAAAAGAGAGCAATCACGTCGTACCAAGAGCAAGAAATACTCTCGTGGTAACGTTCCACGACCCGGGGTAGAACTCCGATCCTAAGCGTTCCAAAGTTGTCCAGTTTTTGGGTTGTTCTGAAATTGGCCATGGGCCTGATAGCACATTTAAAATTGCATTACCACAGGCTTGTTGTCGTTAGGGTGAGCCGTTGGTGGAACTGCGGGGTGCTGAGATATAAGCGGGCGGACCAAAGGAGAGCGTCATCACAGGGCACAGGGCAGCCGATCGTGCAGACGTGAGTTGGTGCGGGCGAGTGAACCACCCTCTGGTGATCGTGCTTTACAAAAGAAAGGCGTTACTTGAACCATGGATGCTCACCAGTTAAATAGCAACACGTTCACCGTTGCACGACCAATCTCTCCTGTGCGCCGTGAAGACCTATGGTCCATCGTTCGTCGTCCCGAGCGCGTAGTGGGCATTACGCAGAAAATTGATGAAAGAGAGCGCGTACCGTACACTTCGTATACGTAGTCCCTCTCTGTTTGTCGTCCATCTCTCATCTCCCTTGTGGGGTGGTTGATTGCGGCGACAGGGTTTTCAGATCGTCTGTGAACCAGGAGTACGGCGGTGAAACATTCGCGGGAACCGATATGGCTTCACTGACGTAGAGACAAGGGATGTAAGCGAGCGAACAACTAGCCGAATGAATACGGATGAATACGTACTGCTGCTACAGCCCTATCCCGGATCGTATATCCCTGGTCTTAGAAGCTTGTGCGTGAAGCGTGTTCTGTCAATTCCAGTGTTAGCTTGACCCCCAATAAGCAATTGCAAATGACAGATTGGGCTCTCACCTGAGTGATTGTCGAGTAGTAGAGCTGGACAGATTGAGTCCCAATGTCATCGAGTGTAGATTCCAGGCGGGCTAACGGTGGAAGTTGACGGAGATGATGGACGTCGATCAAATTCGTGTTGACCAACGTTTGTTTTCTTTCCACCACCGTCAACGATGGACTCAAGAACCTGCGACGAGTTGCCTCAGCTCATCAAGCGAGGTAGGTCATGAAGTAAGTATCTTGTTTTTATAGTTCAATGTTCGTGTCTAACTTAAAGTGATCACCATCTTAGCACTCAGATCTCCCAGTGAGAACGGGATCTGAGGTTTTCTGAGCATTGTGGAAAGGATCTGGGATTTGCCGACTGCAGCTGAGCTGGACTGGTTTGGTCTGATCTCATTCTGAATTGCATCATTGAGTCGTCATCACACCTCCCGGTTTGTAGCCTCATGAAGCAGAACAAGAAGAATTGTGGCCTTCTTTTTTTTTTTTGACAACTTGCTGTAGGTTTTGTATTTTCAATGCTCTCAAAGCATGATGAAGATTTGAAAATCCGAAGTCCTAAATTATGTAAGCACATCAAGTTGACCCGGAACGGATTGAGCTTGTCCAACCGCCTCTTTCCTTTCTTCCACCACGATCCCCTCTCCATCCATGGCTTGGACCTTCCCTAGCTCTTCGGCATCTCCGATTGTAAGAACATTCAAACCAAATACCCCTCGTGTTCTATCTCTGACAATCCTAGTACTACCTTAGTACCTAGAGCTCAGCAAAACCCCGAAGACAAAGGGGATATCGCGTCCTCATCCAACTCGAGGCTTTCCTTAGGCCACCACCATACTCAACATTTGGAAGAAACCCATCGAGTCTGTGTATAGTAACACCAAAAATGGATTGCAATGTGCAACTTTGCTAGGTGTCGAGGCATGCTGCCACGGTGTGTCTGTCTTTCCTCCAATGTGTGACGTTTCTAATCTGGTGGTATCGCTTGTTTCTTTTTGAGCCCGACGGCCGAAGGTTTCATTGGGGGTGTATATACTAGTCTTTGCTCATGGAGCGAGCCTGCCGAAGCACATGAAATGCTGCCCAAGGTAAGTATATGCGCATTATCTTTGATATTATGGTTCCCAGGCTCGTTCTTGATTCTAGCACATAACAACGAGTGGACCGAATGGAATCATCACGGTGAGTTTATCAATGACTAACCTGCTTTGCCACGGCGAACTTCTAACACGATATTAGGCATGCTCCAATGATCGAATTATGTTTAGGCGGAGCCGCGGAAGTGGGACTTTTATTATTTTACTCTGCCTTCAGGCAAGGGACGCTGGTTTGTATCTTCGATGCAAGTAGTAGTGTACGGAAGGCTGTAGTATTCCAGAGAATAAAAATGATTTTAATTTCTCTGAAGGATTCTGATAACCTCAGTGGAGCACGTTTCACCCCAGCTAGCGTCAGACGCGCTCTGAAGGGAGGAATATTATTTATGTGCCGTGTCAGAAATCCTCAGATTGAATTCAGAATGGTGGCAAATCTACGACCTGATCTGACCTGATCTGACCTGACCTGACCTGGTCGGTTTACGGCTATCCTCAGTTCATATCAGAAATTTCTCGGATTATCTCAGTACACCTCCGATCCCATTCTCACTGGGACTCAGATTCGGAGTCGGCAACTGCATCAGGCCTCGAAGATTGGCGGCACCTTACTTTCAAAAGCTACGGTTGATACGTCAAGACATTGAGAATCGAAAGGAGTGGCCCCAGCAACCTTCTCGAGGTGAGTACGCTACCCTGTCTTCCACAACGTGAGCTAAACCTCGGAACTCAGACCTTCGATGCGCGAATACGACAGAACGGCTATCGTATATCCTTTGCGACGTTGTACCCCTGTTCTCAAGCGAGGTCCTTGCTTACCCCTCTCTCCTTGCTTACCTCACATACACGACGTCTATCTTGTACTGATTCTCGTTCTTCCTGGGGAACGGATGTTTCTCTGAGGTAAACCCTGCTTCACCTGCCGCTTTTCAACGGATGGATCTGAGCCCACTTTCCGCAGAGCCCTGTACAATAACAACACGTCCTTTGAGGGGCGGTGAACTTACGACATTGCAGGTGATTACAATCACATCCCCTTCAACTTTCCCGCAACTTCCCAACCCAACAAACGCTCTGCCACATGACAACACCAACATGGCCCAAATCACGTTGGGCTTATGCATGCCCTGTCCCCTCCTTTTTTTCCCCTCTGTTACACACCGACTCGACGGCCAAGCTCGACATCATTAGCAGATGAACGGCCAGACGCCGCCAGAGCCATACGACGCCGCCATCTTGAACCCCATCCCACCACGCGATGACGAGCAGTGTCTCCTAGTGGACTCTTCTGATAATGAACGGGGGGAGACGCATATACTGCAATTCAATCCCTGCTGGAGGAGGAAGAAGAAGGGGAGGGAAACGGAAGTCCAAGATGGGTGCGAGTGGCAAACATCGGAGGATAACGTTGTTCGGGTTCGACCTCTTCGGACGACCACCCATCCAACTCCCAGACGACGACGCTGACGCTGACGTTGCGCCCTTATTCCGTCGTCACAGCAGCGGCACGCCCACAACAACGCTAACCACCCAAACCTTCGACTCCGGCGCCGCTCCATTAGGCATATCCACCATCCACGAAATCTCCGGCTCCAAAGCTTGTGAAGCAGCCGAGGCAGAGGCGAAGCCTCTCAAGGAAAAGGAGGAGAGGAGGCAAAGAAGGAAGGCAAGGGAGGAGATGAAGAGCCTGGTGTGGTTGGCGATGGGGAGGAATTTGAAGGGTTTCAGGGGAGTGGTGGGTTGGCGTTGCTGAAGCGGCCTAGTGGTGCTGGGGCTGGTGGGGGGACGACAGCTAAGCGCTACGTCTTCGTCTGGGTCTCACTCTCGTTTGCAATCCCACTCCCAGCAATCGAGAGAAGGTTTCGGGAGCTTTGTTTCCGCCCCTCCTCCAACAGCAGCAGAAGACGACGAAAATGCAGATCTCGGCGGGACCCTCTACGCGCGCGAGAAATCAAAGAGCAGCACTCACTCGAACGGAGGAAGCTCAGATTCGCGTCATAATCGCTCTTCGTTGAGCCGCTCCTCCGTGTCTGCCTCTGACAGAGCTCAACAACACATCTCACAATCCACCCTTCCTCTCATTGGGAAACTGCCACCAGGTGCACCAATCCGTCCACCAGCCCCTCGAACAGGCAGTTCATCCCTCCAAATCGAAGAAATCCTGGCCCTGCTCGACGGTGCTTGGACTAACGATCTAACGCAGTTGAGGAAGGTGATACGAGGGAGGGTGATTGGGAGGAGGTTTTTGATCTTGATCTTGATTGGGAGGTTGAGGAGCGTTCGGACTTTGGGTTAGGGAGATGTTGGGGAAGTAAGGTACCCCTTTAAAAGTTCACTAGCACTGCTCTTCTGTCACGCTCAGTAAATAGCGAAGTCAGACGTTAGTCACGAGAAAGTCACCAATTAGAGGCTGTCTGACTAAATGTCGTTTTTTTTAAGCGTTTCTGACTACGCTCGTACTACAATAGTCATATATTAGTCTTACACTCAGTCATGTACTAGTCATACAATAGTCACATCCCAGTCATTGCTGCTTGGGCCCAATTCAGGATAGCAAATAGGCTGAATCAAATTATATTTGGCTACTTAAAGTATTTCAGAGGATACATGTAGTAGGCATGAAACTAAGTATAGTAGGGGGGAGAGGAATACTTGGGTTTTCGGCACTAGAATAAGAAGAGGGTCTCAGGATCATGTCGGAATAAAAGGCCCTCTGCAGCATGTCGAGTCCATTCAAGTGCTCCAACAACACCGTCGAGCTCGTCGTTGAGCGGTCCATTACCACATCCAATATCCGTCAAATCCTCCGCATCCGAGACCGAGTCGTCGCCATCCCATCTGCACGGGAAATGGGGAGCGAAGAGAGGGAGTCGATGAGTGCGCCACCTGGATTTGAGCAGGGGGCGTTGAGAATGCGGTTGTTGACGAGGATTACCTCTGCGCTCGCCATGTTTTGGTGGTGGTGATGGTGGGCTGTCCAGCCAAAGAGCGTCGACTGTGTCGTCGGTAAGCCTGGTTCCAATGTAACACTTCGTTGGATCGCCGTCGCATTTTCGTGTAACGGATGGAAGTCGGAGGCAGTGACGGCATGTTGGGGGCTAATGACCTTCGTTTCATAGGGGAGTCATTCGCGATGGTGGTATCCTCGTGTGCTCGTTTTGTGCGTTGCATACATCTGCAAAGGAGTGGAATCCGTCGACGAGGAGGTCCGTGGGTGTAGCTGGTTCGCCAGCGGCCAGAGTCGTCAATTGAGCAGTTGAGGAAGAGCGTGCGGGGCTGGTCGTCGAAGTGACAAGGTCAAGTTCAAACAGGTTCAAACGTCAAAATAACTTTTCAACGAAGCAATCATGTGACTTTCAACTCGCAACGTTTCTAAGTCCAATGCACCGCAGCCTGCAGCAGCTAGACAAAAATTCTTGGCATAGCCATGTGTAGAAAAAGTATGACGAAGTTGATACTAACCTATGACTAAACTCATCTCCCATTTGTTGCCAAGGGAAGTTTGAGGGAAGGGTGGCGTAAAAATTACAGATGTGTGACGTACACTTGACTGACCTCTGACTTTGTGCTATTTTGCTTGACTTTGCTTTTTACTGAGTGTCACGCCCTTGCACCATTCCGTCCGACTCTCCTTTCTTACTGATATCCTCGTCGTTATTTGGCGAAAAGTATTGCCTACGTCTATATACTACCCTATACATGATCACCCCTTTTGACAGAACTGCTTCTCGTAGTTCGGGCTGTTATGCCCATCCTCCACTCACACTCTCTGAAATATACACGGCGATGTTGTTCCTCTGCGCACTGTATGTTTTGCTGCCCGTCGCCGCTAAGAGCTTGGTTAGTCTGACGAGGAATCACAACGAACGGTACAAGTACCTCTTGCATCGATGTTGGCTCATCACCACCGGCAGACGTCAGACGGCGTTCTCGTGAGTATGGTCTTGATGCTTTGGAGAACAGGCCCGACTGCCATGTCATCAAACCTATGAAACGCAACCCGTTAGCTCGTCATCGAGAAAGGAGGGAAAGCAAGAGCATACATAGACGTCTTGTTACTCAATCAGAAATTTGAAGTTCGCAAGGTAAGACGAGGGCATTCGTTCACGGTGAGATTGAAGGTTTGGAGATTGAATGGACGGCTCGAGAGGTTTAGAAGATCATGCAAAATTTGAATATGTCGGATGTTGTTTTGTTCGGTTGGCGGCGCTGTGTCGGGCTACAATGTATGTTGAACGTGGGACATCTGTTGATCGATGGACAGCGTCAACGCAGAGCATGAACTGGCTGGAGTTTCAATGGGCTCATGAACCGCCCTCGGCGTCGGTTCTGGAAGTACAGGTGTCTTACAAGACGTTGTTTATATCGTCGTGCTAGAATGCGTGAGTTGATGTATTCCATGCAAGGTGAACTGTAAGATGCATGATCAGGAGCTTTGAAGAAAGTCGGTGATAGAGGGAACATACCTTGAACCTCAGCGACAAGACGCCTATGAAAGCCAAAACGTGGCCACCAGAACCGCGTCTCTGTCTTCTTTGATCCCAAGTCACTTGAAAGAGGTTGACGCGTAGAAAGGGGTTGCACAAGTATGGGCTTCTGACGGTTCAAGGCAAGGTTTTTGAGACCCATAGAAACCGGCATCGTTTGAATAACTGGACGACAGAAGGTTATCAGCAAAACGAAGTTGTATAAGTCCGACAGGACACGTACTGCCTAAGATTACGCCCCGGATTGAAAGCTCAAACCTCAGTGTCCTTTCGACCCCTTATCCCCCCCCAGAGGTTGCAGACTCACACCGAGTTTCGAGAGCAGGAGCTGGGCAGGAGCTAAACAGGTTTGAGTTCCTGGAAAGGCGGATATGAAAGTTGAGCTTGTATCGGAGGAGCACGAATGGTGGAGAGATTATAGACGCAGAGTTGGCGGAATCGATGGTGGTTGAGGACGCCGTTGCTTCGAATTAGTTCGTTTGTGCAATCGTGCTTTCTAGATGATGGTGGTCCTCTGCAAGCAGAATATGTTGCCCCTCTTCCCCGCTGAGATGTTTAACACCATACAGAATAGCCCCCCGCGTCGGCGTTGGTTCATCGCCTACGGAACGGTGGGCTCGCTTGTGTAAACATGAGGCTTGGGGTTGCCACGTCATTGAGCCTGCGAAACAACAGTGTGATTAGCTCGTCACCGAAAGCCAGAGGTGTTGGAGTCATACCCAAACCAACAGGACGTACGCGACGTCTCCCAGTGGTCTAACTGTTGGAGGTGGTCCAAGGCAATTAAATGCGCCGTAGAGAGCCGAGTGCGTCGGACGTTGAACGTGTCTTCGTCGATCTAGCGCCTAACCAAAAGAAACCAGAGCGACAACATAGCTCAGACTTGGTACTGGGGTTTGTAAACAGCCCTCTAGAAATAAAGACGCTCAGCATGGATTGATCGGTCAAATAATTGAGGTTCGTACCTGCGATAGAACGCTGGCCTTGATCCTGTTCCTGCACAACTACCCTCTTCTCTGCACCTCATCAAAATCTCATTTCTGCCGCAAGTCGTCCTCAGCACATCGTCGTAGAGACCGGAGCCTATCCCTGGCGTGCGTGAATCGAGTCCGAGGGGATGGTACGGTACTAATGTACGCATTGTCAAAACTAGAACTTAGAGAGGGATAGAGCATGAACGTACCGTACAAATCCGTGACGCAATCTTCTGGACTCGTCCCCCAGTCCTCGCGTTGACGGGAAGTGTACATGCTGCTTGAGATCACGTCACAAAGGGAGACATCATGGACGGTGACCGGTATGCGTCTGTAAGAGACTTGAGCGGCACTGGATGAATCGTCAACAAGAAGAGGGCCGGATGGAGTTGAGAGACACGTACTCGATTGCCCTGAATGGACACAGACACGGTTGAAAGGGCGGGGGGAAGTGTCTGAGCGCGGTTTTCAAAGGTGCTAGTGGGTTGAGCCTACGGCAACTTTGTGTTTGTCGTCGGACACTGAGATGGTGGCTAGAATCTAAAGCAACCTTGTGTTTGTCATCGGACGGCGTTGCTCATGTCGGAAAAACCCGGGAAGCCTTATAAGGCAGGTAAGGCACGTAATCACCTGAACGAATTATAATCCAATTATAATCAAGGAGAAATGTACTATAATACAAGACGTGACCATTTTAACGGGATAAAACTATTCAGAAACCCCCTTTCTACGGGAAATAGTACCGCTTATATAGAAACCCCCTTTCTGATAGGACAAACAACGTCGGCATAAAACCCCGGTCAGCGGAGGGTTTTTTTTCATGGACCAAAGGATCACGTGCTTCATAAAAGAAAAATTGAGACTCAACTTGGACTCGACTTATTTGACGATTGCGGCGATGTCAACAGGCCAAAGATTGGATAGAGGATTTCAGGTGTGTACAGCATATCACAACTCTTAATCACTCTCTAAATATTCTTCAAGCTTGGGCAGGACCTTCTTGTATGGCCAGTCTTACCACATACGCCGCATTTTCGCGTTTGCACCGCCTTTGGCTGTGCCCTTGCCCCTCCTCCTTGCGGTCGTCCTTCGGTAGCGCCTGTTATTCTCCGTTCACGTGGCCTGCCCTTTGGATTGAGGATCGGCGGCTCACGGACGTCATCATTTTCAGCCTCACGTCGACGCGAGGAACTGTAATTTATGTTGGTAAGCGCGTTTAGAGTATGTCACTTGGTCAATCTCACCGGAGCTCCTCAAGGTCAGCCAACAGCGTATTCAATTGCTCTTGGGTTTGGACACCATTCATCAGTGGGCCCAATGCTGCCGTTGCTTCGTGAAAGACTGTGCGAGCGGGAACTGTCTGTGTTTGAGGAACAGCCGGCATGGATGATGGAGGAAGGTGTTTTGGCTCCAGAGGATTCGCAGAGACGATTGGGGTCTGTTGTGAGGATGGAAGGTCTGCCTCTGGCCTTCGGAATTGGGCCTCCCGTGCCTCTACAGCTGGTATGTTTCGCAAATCTAGATTTTTATCGTTGTACCATCTAATTGCATATCAGTTTTTCCTGAATTCAAGTAATGCTCGACAGCGCACCTAGCACGGATCACCCCCAAGTTAAATTTGAGAGTCTGGATGGCACTCAAGACCTGGAAGTAGTGGCGACAGGGCAATCCAAGATTCATTCCCATACAGCACAGCGTTGTGCCGGTTGCGCAACTGTTCTGAAAGTCGCCGACTGTCACTGACTGTGACATTTCGCAACCAAACACGACCGCGACTTTGCGGGGTGCCAGGGGTGTCCTCATATATTATGTAATGTAATTTTAGGTGTAGACACTTCTGAGATTTCGAGGTGGATTTGACTTTCTCACGATCTACAGTTGACTGTGAGTCTGTGACCTAAGGTCGGTGACGCAGAACAACTGTCACAGGTAGCACGCAAAATGGATTGTGGTAGATACGGAACATGATATAGAGGAATCTAGAACAGTGGTAGATACAGAATATGATGTAGGAATAACTGTGCAGCGTTAGAAGACCGCGCAGTGCGATATAGCACACGCCCAGAGGTAGGACCCCATGGCACCGCGCAAAGTTGCGAACGTTTGACCGTTGACGACCTTTGGTGACTCTCTCACGATTTACGGTCGGTGACTGTGACCTCAGGTCGCCGACCCGCACAACGCTGATACAGCAGTCGCAAATGTAGTTATCGTCTGGGAGAAGGGGGGCAATGTGCAAGGCATTCGTTCCTACATGGGTAACTTCGATGAGGTGTTTTATAGTTAATCCTCGTCCACGTATTAGGCGTAGCAGAAAGACCGTCGATATATGTGAATTGTCATTTTGGAAATTGTTCATCATGAACTAATGATTTTGGGTGTCAATAGAATCGTCCATGAAGCAACTGGTGGCCATTTACCTGCTCCTCTCCTTTCTCCCAGTCATACCCAACATTGCCGCTCACCGTTACTGCGTATTCATTCTGATATAGACATATGATTATATTATTGCTTCGCGAGAGTAGTGCAATTAATACGTACCCAATCTCTTGTCCCTTCTGGGCGTTGTAAAACTCGAATTCGGTAATACATGCTTTGTTCCATTTGCTCGTAGCATTTTTGAAGCGAAAAGGGTGCTGTAAATTGACGAATAAGTTGCAGTGGACCCGGAAAGACTGTTTCGATAGGTTTGGCATGCTGTCAACGTGATGACTGTCACTGTAACACTGGTGGAGAGGCGCATGGTCCGCAAAGCCGGCGTGATGTTTGTTGATGTTTGTACTGCGCATATTTACCAGTGATCAATGGTTAGGCAGCTTTTTGGCCGCATCTCGGCAGATTTTGGCCAGATTTTTGTCCATATCGGGGCTAGGTTCCAATGCGCAGGGGGTCTTCAGAGCAGATTTTTGAAATTCGCGTCGCATTGGCAACATCATGACATGATAATACACTCAACAGTGAAAAATAAATAAAATAGTCTGTAGACCCCCAAGAGATGCATGCCATTAATCGATTAGAAAAAAAATGGGAGTGATGGAAAGTCGTGGTGAGGAGAAAAGTTGTTTTTAATTTTTGACGCGCCAGCTGTAATTAAGGGATTACATAACACGTGTCGAGCCTCGCGAAAAACGACGTACCCTCCATGCTAAGACGTTATTCTTCCTAAAAACACTTACTACTCACCAACATCACACTCTGAATGGCTCTAGGTCCAAAAAAGCGAAGGAGAAGGTCCAATAAACAAAGAAAGGCAATTCTTCGTGCTCAAGAAACCAGTAAAAACCAGCGTTGTGCACTGGAGTACTCGGGAACAATCAATCGCACTCCTGTCTCACCAAATGCAGGCGTTGATCCAGAGTTAATTACTTTCCAGGACAGAAAACATGACAGTGGGCGCAAAGTGGGCGGTGATAAAAACCGACAGTGTGACTCTGATTGGTCTGAATTATATCCAAAGTAACATTATTGATATTCAAGATCTCAAAGTATATTATATGGTCATTTTAACAACCATAAAGCAATGCTAGAGTGAAAACGGCGCTTGGATGCCAATTAGCCACATTTTGAGTGGCTGTGTGATTAGTCATCAGCCGCAATTGCTTGCGGACAGTGCGCGTCTCCAGTAACAGACGTGACCTCAATATTGCCTCAATATCACGCGTCTACTGATAACGGTTCCAATCCTCTCATCTTCGCGCTTACACGCTCGGCCTCTGTCGGCCCATTCTCAACACCTACGGTTTGATATCTCTATGGACACTTACTGCTCCCTGCTCCCATTACCTATCACCTGCCTATCCCATTTGTTATTCCTATGTGTTATCCCCATCATTGTCTTACCCCTTGCCCTACCTACTGCCGTATATAAGAACAGACTGTAACTCGTAGTTACCCCAGTGAATACCAGAGTCTTAACCAGTCTTTCGTGTTCGCTCTTGCTCTCAGTGTGCCAGCTCCAAACTACAGTCACCTTCCGTCACCGTAGTCACAGATCTGTCACATATTTTTTGACTTAACCTGACTCGACAAAACTCGTCTCTCTCTCTCTCTCTACTACCTCGCCCGTCTTCTGGATTCCTTCGGTTTGATCACCCGGACCCCCGACTTCTGGCGACTATACCCCTCGTCTCCCCTGTCTCTTTGTTTTTTTTATCTCTATGTCTTCTACTCGTTACCATACCCAAGCGCGCATCTCGCATTCTGGATTAGCTACCCAGAATGGTGCGCCCGCCTCTACTAACTTTGTTACTAACAACGTCGGTTCACAAATATCCCGTGAGGGCTCGCCTGATGCAGCCCCCACCAGCCCTGCCAGGCTCACGGCAATTTCATCGGAGAAAACCCCTCGCTCTTATAGCGATGTGGCGGCCTCCAGGCCTTCCTCGCCGGTTATTGCCAGCGGGGAAGGGACGCTTCAGCGTCTTCCTCCCAAAGAACAAGTGCAGAGCACAACGTCTACGGAGTGTATCCCAGCTACGGCTGGTGTCACCTTTAGGAACGACGACGTCGTTCCTGATCGTGAATCTGACTTATCAGAGTCGAGTGAACCCAGTGACCAGGATGATAACCCCAATCCCTGGATCAGAGTAGTTCCTAGGCATACACGTAGCCTAGAATCTCTCAGTAAAGTTAGAATGAATAAAAATTCTATTACTATTGACACAAACAATAAGAAATTGAGAATGGAAAAAGAAACTGTCCTCCACCAAGCTGAAGAGCAATTGACTCCAGCTCAGAAACAAATTTCTCGTCGTTATGAGAAACTTAAGGAATTACCTCGGAAGAGGGCGGAATCTCCGGCCTCACGTGGTGAAGGGCCATCCCATTCCAAAGGCAAAAATGTTGACCCAAGGAATTGGGGTGCTGCCCAATTAAGTGATGAAGACCTGGATGTCGACGCCCAGTGCGCCGCTCTTGAGTCCTTTAAGGATCATCACAAGGAAACATCTGCGTGATCAGATTCCGAAAATGAAAAATCGGCGCGGAAGAAACACACTCACAGAAACAAGAAGAAAACCTTAAAGGTTACTGAGAACCCTAAGGCACAGACTCCCATGTCAGACCTGACTGGGCGACATGTCTCCAAGGTTAATGATCATTGATCTGCACGCCGGGAAAAGGTTGCTCAAAGCGCGGAAAGCAGACCCATTAATCAAATCGCACCTGACAGCTACCTCGGGCGTGCACTTGACAACGTCGACAAACGCTCTTGCTCTCGTCGAACGGATCCAGACCCTGAGTCTTCGGATTCTTCTTATTCCAGCTCAGACTCATCCTCGAGCGAGTCGCCGAGTGATTCTGAGAGCTCAGTTAGTTCCAAGCGAACGTCGCGCCGCAGGCACCGGCGTTCTAAGTCCAGGTCACATAAATCTGGACTGAAACCCATTCCCCCCAAAGAATATGATGGAGCAGCTGATGCTCATTCCTATCACCGCTTTGTTACTGAAGGAACTGAGTATGTTACGGCTGGAAAGGTCCGAAGAAATAAACAAGTCTTTGTCCTATCATATTATTTGAAAGGAAAGGCTTACGATTATTATACTCAGAAAGTATCAATGAATTACCGAGACTGGACACTCCGGCAATTCTTTGAACAAATGTTCAATTACTGCTTCCCAATAAACTATAGGATGGCACAAAGGAAAAAGCTTAAAAAGTGTTTCCAAAATGAAAAAACGGTTTCGGAATATGTACACGAACTCGAGGAACTTTTCAATATGATCGGCGTTGTTGATGATCGTGAAAAAGTAATCAAGCTTTGGAATGGTCTCCGCAGCTCGATTCAAAGGGCTCTCTGGCGTGATGGATACAATCCCGAGATATCTGAATGGGATGACGTCTGCGACGGAGCAGAAACCATCGAAATTTCGGAGTCAGTCCCTGATCAACAGCGGAAGAATAATAATTTGGGAACTCACCATGTTCACCAGAATAATGGAAATTCTCGAGACAAGAAGAACTCAGGAAATTGAAATCCTGGTTCTTCTAATAACTTCCAGAGAGGAAGTTCCCAAGCGCCATCTGGACAAAGAAATAATAATTTCTCCAGAGGGTCCAGCCGGCCCCAGTCCCAACAGCCTAAAGGGAACTTCAATCAGAATAACTCTCCCAGACAAACTGACTGGAAGAATTCCAAACTGAATAACTTTCAATGTGAAAGTACGGCTCCCAGACTGAGTGACAAGGAGAAAACTGAATTATTGGCGTCTGGATCTTGCTTCCGTTGCAAGAAACCAGGCCATCTTTTGCGAAACTGTCCTCAGGGAAATACAGTTAAGTCTGGTGGCAATAATAGCAAACCACCCGGACTTACCAATTATAATATTGAGATTGAACCCAAGTTCCTCGAATCCGACGAAGCTGAAGCCATCGATTCACTAGAACTCGGCGCAATAACTTGGCAAAATTCTGAAAACATCGAATGGATTGGGAATGAGCCCTCATGGATGGTATATGATCCCAATATGCCAAGACGTACCTCGCTTGGGGACGCTTTGGCTTTGATGGCTGAATACGTGTTAGACATCATGCAACCATACCCCGGCGATAGTAACGCAATGGGCGATGGAGGCGTCCGTCAGTGGTTTAGCGTCTATCAGACCAGTAATCCTGATTGGTATTGTATCAATGATTACCTGAATCTAAATGGTTGTGTGATACGTACCTCGAACCTGGAAAACTCTCACTTCTGACTAGGAGAGTGGTACGCACGCCGGCTATTGCGTCGCCTTCATAAATTAGAAAAAATGAAGTGCCTTTGGACAATGGCAGATGCTTACAGTATCAACGCGACGCACACGCTGTGTAGCGGCATCCCAACACTCTACCCCTCCAATGATCCCGACGCGGATCCTGAAGGTCGTTTTTTTGTAACGCGTGGCGAGCCTGATGAATTTGTAATTCATGACGAAGATTTCAGTCAGCCATTGAGAGTTGACAAGTCGATTATAATGAATGCTCACTTCAACTTGGCCAAATGGTATCAAGCTCGACACTATCCTAAAGTTCGATTCGACGCCGAAAGTGTCAATGTGGATTCATCCACACTATTCGACGAAAGCCCAGAACCTAGTTCAGGACTATTTAGGGGGTCGACTTCAACCGCCGACAGCAATAATAACTCACCTGAGTTACAAGCTGACGACGATTTTGATTATTCGGACATGCCTGACCTACAATCCGTAACCGACTCGGATTGGGATGAAGAAATCACTGCAACCCAGTCTGATTGGGATGAACGCACCTATACTCCCATAGGCGAAATCCACGGCGAGTTGGTGGCCCAAAATCTTGAGATTTGCGCCCCATATCCCGGGGACATTCCAAGCTCAAGGGTGAGCTCCTTCAGACGTTTTGGGGTCATGCGTATCAGGGAAGACCAGTACCGAGTGCATGACCGGGTCCTGCAGACCAATAGTTACCTGTCTGTGGACTTGATGATGCAACCGTGTTTTACGCCTGGAGAATGGTATGCCAATCAGTGCTCAATTCGCACAGGTGTATCCACACACCAATGGGACATCAGCCACGTCCCGCTGACCATGGGAAACCTCCTAGAAAGCGAAATCGCCTGCGTCTTGAGATGAGGGGCACCATACGCTTTTGATGATCTGTTTCCTGCGGTCCCCTTGCATCGTCGGTTTTCCGTATCCCTGGATACCCAGAACAGCGACACCTTCATTATAGAAGATCATCAGTGGGAAGTGATAACTCACCTGTCCTCTATGATGATTGAGAACCCAGCCTTCGACCTAGCTAGTTGGTATGAAGACCAGTTAGTTGACGCACTCGAGAACGCAAGGCGTCAAAGGGAAACGGACCTGATGCCTGACAAAAGGTTCCGAGACCCTGATGATGACGATAGTTCCGCTTGGAACTCAGATCAACAATCTAACGGAACAGAGTTCGATCAATACAGGGACCTAGGACCCTATGAGTCTATGACACGTACCTTGAGTTGAATGGGCTTCAGGTCCCTCGTGGCACGTATCCTGCTGTCCAGCTAGTGTTTGAAAGTTAGGTTAGTTAACCGGAAAATAACCGGAAAATAACCGGACCTAACCACAACACTAACCTAACTGCAGTTAGGGTTAGTTGATTTCGAAAATGGAATAACCGGTTATTTTGCGGTTAACTAACCGTTAAATAACCGGTTATAACCAGCCCTATTATACACCTTCAACACGCACTTTAGAACATCGAAAACGCTTAAAATTTGACTAAGTTACGGTCAAATCTCTAAAATATCACTCAAATGTGTAGACTTTCAAGGATAATTGCATAAATATGTCAATTCTTCACTGATTTTAGCATTCTTGGGCTCGTTTTAAAGCTAGAATATGCAGAAATAATATCTATCAAGATAAATATGAGCATATTTGCCTTGTTATAACCAATTCTTTATTTTTCGGTCCTAACCAGTTAGTAACTGCAAATAACCGACCGTAACCGGTTAGTTGTGGTCCGGTTAGGTTATTTTAGGTTTCGGGACAAAGGCTAACTGGTCTCGGTCTCGGTTAGAGCCCCTGGGCACCCAATAACTGGACCTAACCGGACTTTCGAACACTATGTCCAGCGGAATGCTGCAGTAACGAATGACACCAGTACGAAGGTCCCTCGACCTGTAGTAATTACTGCTAAAATCAATGGGCATCCTGCACAAGCCCTTCTTGATTCCAGTACTTTACAGTGCCCCACCTATTCCTGCAGGAATGGGGTCATTCCAGTGGAATAGGACTGGAATCAAGCAGAGTAAGTTTTTTTCAACTCCAACCTTATCCTGATGACTTGGCACTCATATTTCCTTATAAATTCACATGTAGAAGTCATAGATTGAGTTGTAATGTATTTGAAATGTATTACTACACACACTACACAGTTTATCTTAAAGGGAGGGGGTAGGGGAGGGACAAGGTGGGGGTGTATTTATATTTTTGGGAGGGACAAGGAAGGGGGAAGAACAAGGGAGGGGAGGGAGGAAGGGGGAAGGACAAGAAAGAGGGAAGGAAGGAAGGGGGAGGGACAAGGGAGGGGGGGGAGGAAAGGGGGGAGGGAGGAAAGGGGGGAGGGAATGGTGGAGCAAGGGGGAAGGGAGCAAGGGGGAGGGACAAGGAAAGGGGGAAGGAGGAAGGGAATGGTGGAGGGTAGAGGGAGTGTGGCTGGGACCTCGGCCATCGTCGTCCCGCGTTGGCGTCCCATCGTTGTGTCGCATTTCGTTGTCGTCTCCTCGTCGCGTGTTCGCGTTTTCGTCGTGTGTCCGCGTTTTTGCGTTATTCGTGGGCGTTGTCGTCGCCGTCGTCGTGGGCGCTGGTTGCCGTTGGGGGCGTCGTCGTGGGTGGCGTTGGTGTGGACGTGGTGGTTTTGGTAGGCGGCGTGGTGCCGTCGTGTGTTGTATGGGCGGTGCGTGTTTTTCGGTGGGCGGCGCGTGTTTTTCGGTGGGCGCTCGTGTTTTTCGGTGGGTGGTGGGATGTTTTCGTGGGCGGGGTATGGTTTTCGTGGGCGCTGGCGGTGTACGTGGGCGGTGGGCGTCGTTTTGTGCCCGTCGGGTGTCGTTTTGTGTCCGGGGGCGTTGTTTTCGTGGGCGTTGGGGGTTTTCGTGGGTTACGGCGCTCATTGTTTCGTGACGTGGCGTCGCCGCGTTGTTGTTGAAGGGTGTCGTGGTCGATGTTGGTGGTCGTGGTGGCCATGGGTGATCGAGGAGCGACGTTGGCGGTGGTGGCTATGGGTGACGGTGATGGCGTGGCGTTGGCGGCGGTGACGAGCATGGTGGTGGTGGAAGAAGAGAGTGGCCATGTTTGGTGAACATGCTCACCAAACAAACACTGTTTGTGATCCATTGAAAATAAATAAACTATAATACAGTAACAAATAAATAAAATAAACAGATTGGACTGGAATCCCATTCCTGCCCACTCCGGGGAACACCATTCCTGCCCATTCCGGGGAAGACCATTCTGGGGAACATTCCGGTGTACATTCCGGAATCCACTGGAATGGAACACACCGGAATAAACAATTTAGCAGGGCCTTCTGCTAAATTCCATTCCACTGGAATGACTGGATTCCTGCAGGAATAGGGGGGGCACTGATAAGACCTCCTTGATTCAGGCTCACTGGGGGACTTTATGTCTTCTACAGTGGCTGATCAGCTGAAAGTAAAAAAAGATAAACTAGCCTTACCCCTTGGCCTGCAGCTAGCGGTGCAGGGATCACGCTCCAAAATAAATTCTGGAGCAAGCGTTAAGTTTGAGTATCAAAAAATAACAGAAGTTAGGTACTTTGACATAATTAACCTGTCAAACTACGACTTGATCCTGGGTACACCCTGGCTGTATCAGCACCAGGTATCGGTGGGATTCAATCCCACTCGAGTTCTTGTTGGGAGCGACGCAGCGTTGCCTCTTGATGGAATTTCGGTAACGTCCATCACATTGCGTGCGGTTGCACTCGAAAATCTGGACATTGACAGGGCGCGGAAATTCCTACTGGAATATGCGGACCCTCTGTGCAAAGATGCAAGTGAGACCGAGCTGCCACCATTGAGAATAATCAATCACACCATACCTGTGATTGACAAGAATAAGTTGTATCTGTGGCGTCCTTCGCGATGCCCTGAAGCTCTTAGATCTCAATGGGTTGAGAAAAAGAACGCATACCTGAAGACGGGCCGTTGGGAAATAACGAACGCCTCTAACATGATTCCTATGCTGTTAGTAGTTAAGCCCAGGAAACCTGGAGACCCCCCGTTGCTCAGAACAGTATACGATTTGCGTACTCGAAATAAAAATACGCACAACCTGAGCACGTTCACCGGACTGCGACGACTACTCCTGATGGAAACATGATCAGCCATGTTCTCCAACAGGGGGATTGTAACGCCCCTGCGACTTACCAGGCGTTAATGAACCAGCTGTTCTCACCTTATATAGGCCAGTTCATGGACGTATATCTGGATGATATAATAATTTATTCAGACTCTGTTGAAGCTCACATCAAACATGTTAAAATTGTGGTGGATATTCTTACCAGAGAGAAGTTATACCTGAGCAAAAAGAAGTTATACTTCCTATGCCCAGAAATGAAGTTAGTGACAACGGCATTCACATGGACCCCTACAAGGTGGATTCCGTTCTGAATTGGAAGACACCAACAAATCGCGATCTTCTTCGCAGATTCCTGGGTTCCGTAGGATATCTAGCAGAGGACATCCCAAACATTAGAATACCGATGGGCGTTCTTCATGGACTTACTGGGGATACAGTGCATTTTCGTTGGGGGTTCACAGAACAGTGAGCCTTCGAAGATGTAAAGGCGCTTGTCCAAGCGGCTAGGGACCATAATTGTGTCCCCCTCGAATACGCACCTAGCGCGCCTCAGATCTGGATGGTAACAGATGGTTGTGCTACAGGCATTGCCGGTCTTGTCAGCCAAGGAAAAAACTGGAAAGATGCGAAGATTGCCGCATTTTACTCAGCTAAGCTCAACTCTGCACAGCAGAATTACCTGGTCCACGAGATCGAAATGCTTGCGGGTGTTGAGACAATGCTAAGACACTGTGATATTCTGCAAGGTGTAAAGTTTAAGTGGATTACAGACCATAAAGGTCTGGAATACTTACTAAACCAACGGAATCTTTCTGGCAGGCAAGCTCGGTGGATCAAAACGATAAGCGAGTTTGATTTCGAAGTCGTGTATGTTGCAGGCTCTGAGAACATAGTTGCAGACGCACTGTCCAGGATATATTCAGCGGATAATCCTGGCACTGTGCGAGCTGCAAGCGAATACACTTACTTTGACGTCGTCAATGACGACCACCTTGATCTCATGGAAACAACGTTGCCAGTGTTGGCGGGTATCGAAGCGCGCGTCACCGTGCAAAGACGCCCAAGAGAACCAGCGCCTGGTGCAGAGACAGGTCGTCCTGAAACCTTGAAAGAATTCGCAGCACAAATGAAGGATCATTTCGTTGTTCAAGGCCCTCGACAATGAAAGGAGGGCGGGAATGGGAATGCAAAAGCAAACATTGATAAAACGGCGCCCAAAGCCATGTCCACAAGTGAGAAACTCACGATCCGAGCCACGAGCCATCAGAATTTCCATCGTTAGTAAATGTTGTATCGGAAAGTCAAAATGGAATGAAAACTCCAAGGAAGATATGCTGAGGACCCAATGTTCAAGGCTATATTGGAGAAACCAAATAACTATAGGAATTTTGCAGTGGAAGACAACCTTATCTTTCTGAAATCAGAAAAGTCAAAGGTGCTGTGTATTCCCAAGGTTCTGATTGATGGGCGCAGCACCCGTGAAATCGTTATCTCTGAAGCACACTCGCTTCTCGCGCACTTAGGCGCTAGCAAAACCTTGGATTACCTGCAGGATCACGTTTGGTGGAAAGACTTAGTCTCTGACACCAAAGCGTTTTGTGAAACCTGCTCAACTTGTAAACACAGCAAACCAAGTAATCAGAAACCCTACGGGCTGCTGAATCCACTTCCAGTGCCAAGTCAACCATGGGAATCCATTGGAATAGACTTTGTTGGACCCTTACCGGAATCTAAGAACCGTGATGGGTTCTTTGATTGCATCACTGTCATCATTTGTTTATTGACAGCCATGGTTCACCTAGTTCCGAGCAGAATAAATTACAATGCTCGTCCAGCCCTAGCTGTAAGAATTGACCTAGTTGTGCTGGACCTGACCACTAATTTCTATTGCGTATGGTGTGGATATGTCCTGCATCCCAAATGCAAAATGTTCCAGCACCCTTTTTATTCCAAAAATTGTTTGGTTTAATTGTATAATAACCCTAGTGTAGGTTTTGTTTCATTTTTAGGGGTTATTTGTTTTCCACATGGCTCAACCATCAAATTCTATTTCTGTGCAGCTATTTTTGTTTCATTTTTAGGGGTTCATTGTTTTCCACACGGCGCAACCATCAAATTCTATTTCCGTGCAGCTATTTTTGGGCCTTCAGCATATTCTCTCTCCCAAATCCCGCTTCTCATGTCAAAACACGTCTAAACGTGTTCTTTAAATGATTTCAATTACCCAAAATTGGGCAGATATGTTATAACTAGCCGATGTCCGTCGCCTGCCATCACTATTTCTTTCCGCAGGGCTATTTTGGGCTTCCTTCGATCAAATGTCTTTGGCGGCATCAACGGCACCTGTCGTGGCTTTCAGAATCCGTCTCAGTATGTTTTCCTTATGTTTTTTCCTCCACTCTTTTTGTTTTCTCATCCGCTATGTTTGTTTTATTTTATTTCTGACCATCTTTCTTTTGTTTCACAATCAACATTCCGCCTCCATTGAGTGGTGCTTACCATCCAAATCATAAAACCATGGCCTAGGCCAGGAAGGCCTTGTGCATAGCTCCACAAACTTTTATGAAAAGTATATCATATATATCCCAGGCCCTTTTATGATAAGGATTTTTTTCATAAGAGGCCTTGTGCATTTCAATAACTTTTCATTGCAGGTCACAACTTATCATTAACTGCTTTTCATTGCAGTCCAGCCATTTTCATTGACCACTTTTCATTGCTGGCCAGCCCTTTTCATTATCCACTTTTCATTGCTGCTGGCATTTTCATTGCTCTCTAGGATTTTCATTGGCTACTTTTCATTGCAGGCCAGCCTTTCTCATTGACCACTTTTCATTGCTGCTGGTATTTTCATTGATAGCTTTTCATTGCAGGCCAGGATATTTCATTGGATACTTTTCATTGCAGGCCAGCCCTTTTCATTGGCTGCTGTCAGGTGGGTCATCAGGAGAATGGTCACATGACCAGTTGCCTAAAATGGTTAAAAATAAAAATTGTAATCCTGCACTGTAGCTTCCTGAATCTGTTTAAATTATGTTGTAAAGTGCTTTCATTGTAGAGATATGAGGTAAAATATTTTTCTCATTGCCAGCTTTTTTTTTTTTTTTTTTGCATTTTTCTCCATGAAAACAAAACCAAACAAGATGATTTCAACACATTTAGAAATCCAAGAGAAGAGGCTACAATTATCATATCGTGGGAAAATTGTGCCAAAAAGGAAGGTGCATACCTCAAAAGGGAAATTGACATGGATAGCCTGCAAAAGGCTACAAAAAGTCTGACATAGACTATAAGGACCACTGATAGACTACAAAAGACTACAAAAGTTGGACATAGCTTACAAAGTTTAAAGTTTACTAATAGACTATACAATTTACTAAAAGACTACAAAAGACTACAAAATGTCGGAAATAGACTACAAATTTTACTAACATAAGTTTCTAGTGTCCCCTTTTTTTAGACTACAAAAGTTTCTATTGTCTGCTATTTGAGACTAAAAAAGTTGTAGTGTCCCCTTTTTTTGGACTACAAAAGTTTGTAGTGTCTGCTATTTGAGACTACAAAAGTTTGTATTGTCTGCTTTTCAAGACTACAAAAGTTGTAGTGTCTGCTTTTTTGAGACTACAACAATTTGTAGTGTCCACTTTTGAACCTACAAAAGTTTGTCTTGTCTGCCTTTTTGACACTACAAAAGTTTGGAGTGTCTGCTTTCTGAAATTACAAAAGTTTGTAGTCTGATTTTCTGACATACACTGTGTAGTGTCTTTGACTATGTTAAGGTTCATGGGGATATGGTTGAAGGATTGACATATATACATTGTTGCATCATTGGTTTTGGTATCATGCTCAACCTGTCTTTTGCATTAGGACAGTTGTCCTCTCTTTTTAAATCAGAAGCCACCATCCTATCTTTGAACTGGTATTCACATTAGTAGCCACTGTTATATTTGACTATACTTATTGTTGAAAGTGACTTCTCTGAAAATTATGAATTGTGTGTGATACCTGGCAGCCTATCCAGGCTTTTCATAGCATGATCCCTTGACACCTTCCAACCTTTCATCATTCAATCTTAGCTCATTCAGAAGGACTGGCCAGCAATGAAAAGTGGTCAATGAAAATGGCTGGACTGCAATGAAAAGCAGTTAATGATAAGTTGTGACCTGCAATGAAAAGTTATTGAAATGCACAAGGCCTCTTATGAAAAAAATCCTTATCATAAAAGGGCCTGGGATATATATGATATACTTTTCATAAAAGTTTGTGGAGCTATGCACAAGGCCTTCCTAGCCTAGGCCATGGTTTTATGATAAAATATGGTAAGGACCAGTGCTCCATTTCCCCCTTGCACCCTCTGTACCAGCTGACTGTGTATATCTCCTCCACAGGTCCAAGACGCGTTGCGGCGCCAATGGTTCGTTGAATTTCAACTTCGCGTCACGTGTCTGTCGCTTTTCGCCTGACGACTTATAACTTCCCTCTATTTAGCTATCCGTCCATTTTTTTGCTCTTTGATGTCAATAATTACACCCCCGTCTTTGAACATCCATGTATGTCACCTGCCCTACTCGCTCATCTGCGGGTTCAAGGCCGAAATTCGACGACGGCCGTGTCCTGAGCTTAGACCCGCTTTTTTTTTACATATGTATATACCTTGGTATTCAGTATATACATATGTACACCCAAAAAATTATCATATCAACTACAAGAAACCAAAAAAGATCAGCCACTACAAGAAAGAGGTACAAGAGATGCACAAGAGAGAAGAACAAGAAGCTGGCAAGAAAAGGTGTGAAGAAGAGGTGTGAGGAAGAGGTTAGAAAGGACAGTGGTCCTTATCAAAGGTCAAAGAAGCATTAGCGAGAAACGTGGAAATGCGTGAGCACATGATAGCGAACAGGATATGGCCTAGCACCTGCGTTTGCGCGAGGTGCTGGTAGAAATTGATGTAGACGAGCCATGCGCGTGTGAAGCACTGGTAGAAATCGGCGTTGGCGAGCTATGAGGTAAAGCAAAATCAATGAGCGGAAGCTAGTAATCAAAAAAAAAAACACGAACCTGGTTTCCAACAGACCAGCGAGCACCCATCCCACATCCCGAACGGCCGCCATCCAATCTTCATCTGTAGTGGACGGAGCGGGGAGCGCTACACCCCACCAGACAAGAGTTGCCATCACCGAATAAAAACCGTTCCTCCCGTGTTTGTTTACCGCTGACCAATTGGCACCATCGACCAAGTCCAAGCGATGCGAGGAGTCGAGAGCACCATCCACATTTGAAATGGCCCTCCAATCGGGTTGAAGCCCCTTCCCCCACTTCCACCACTGCTTCTCGAACTCAGCCACCTTGTCGACCGTTGGCTGTGTTGCTCGCCCACGAGAAATCCAATAATGAACTTCTGCAGGCCTGTTGTCCGATTTGAAACCTGCAGAACGCGCCCCCAGGGCGAAGTCGGTAAGTCGCTCTAAATCGGTGAACTGTTTGATCAAAAATGCGAAGTCGGGGCCTAGATCCTGACTTGACAGCCATTTGTGGGCATCAGCGAACCAAGAAGGCCATGAGGCTGCTTCTTGTGCTGATGGAGCAATGGGAAGAACAGGAAGCGCGGAAGGGTTGGATGTTGGGGGGGGACTTGCTTGTGAAATTTGAACTGGCGAGGGGCGAACTGGAGATGGAGGTTGAGAAAGGGGAGGGGGCAAAGGTGCAGTCACCGGGAGAGAGGGAAGAGGAGCGGTCTTGGTGTTGACAGGCTCGATGTTGATGCTGATGGATTTAACAGCTTTGACAGCTGTCGTGGGTTTGACTTTCCAGCGCTTCGGATCCATCGACGTGCGTTTGGTGGACCGTGTATTGACTGGTTCGTCATCATCGTCATCGTCGTCATCGTCCTTGTCCTTGTCCTTGTCCTTGTCCTTGTCCCCGTCCTTGTCCTTATCCTTGTCCTTGTCCTTGTCGTCCCCACCACTTTCCGAAGACTTTGAGGAGGCTTCAGTACTGGACTCATCCTCATCAGAGGCGGCCTTCGATTTGCGGTGTTTGTTTGGCCGCTTGTGGTGCTTCTTGCCCTTCTGGTGCATCGTTCGGCTCTTCTTAGCCTTTTTGTCCTTCTTTTCCACATGGCGCTTCCGCTTACGTTCGTTACCTGCTATATCCGAGGGGTTTGGGGGCAGGGCAGTAGTTGGGGGTGACGAGTCAATGCCAGAGGATGAAGGCCCAGTGATGGTGTTTTCATCACTAGGCGGTTTGTCAGGTAAAGCGCGCGCGCGCTGCTCCTCCACAGCTACATTGTATGTAAGATACTGTGTATGATTTAGATAAAAAAATTACTCACTGTAGCAAGTCGAAAGAAAAGAGAGAAACACTTCGTTTACGATCTTGAACTTTTCTGTGAAAGAAACCTACCCAAATGCATTGAGCTGACCCTTCCTCTTTGGCTCAGGGCCACCAATTAAGACGCTGATATTCATGCCCACTGTCTCTCTGATGATTTGCATGACAGGTCCCAACAGATTCGGGAGTTTGTCTAAAACTCTGTTCGTCATAGTTAAAATTGAGCCCATCCAGGGGGAAAGAAGCACTTACAATTGAGCTTTGGCAGGAGCCAACAACCCTGACGCCGCCGAGTTCTTGTTCGCGGCGGTTTTTTTGGCCGAATGCACGCTTTTCACCTTTTCGTCCCACAGACGTTGTGTCTCTTCATCGAGCTCCTTCCAACGCACTAACTTGAAGTCATTCCGTGCAGCTGCACATTCAGCCTTCCGTCGGCCACTGGCAGCGAACTCCGCCTCGAATTGGTCCTTGAACGAGGGGAAGTGCTCCTTTCCCCAAACCTCCCAACCTGCAGTATGCCTTGACGACGAGCCATTCCGTCCGAGAAGCTGATTCACCAGGGCAGAGACTGGATCCTTGTCTCCTTTACGAGTGCGTGGAAGTGTTGTCGTTCGTTTGCAGCGGTATTCATACCAATGATACAGAGACTAGAAAAACAAGAGTGAGTAAGCATGGGGAACGAAGCCGAATCTGAAACTTGACTTACATTGCGCGCGCGTTCGATTACTCGTCCCTTGAGGATTGAGTCCGCCGACATCAGAACTTCGTGACCTTGCGCATCAACAGGTAGGATAGTTGGCGTCGCGTCGTCAGGAGCGCAAAGAGGAATGGTCCAATGATACTGTGAGAACCATTGGTTGATGATGGAATCGAGGACCGAGGAAGACTTTTTTGTGAGTAAAGCTTCCTGGTAGTCGCTGATAAAGTTTTCGAGGAAAGCGAGGCGTTGGCCTTTCGCCCAATTCCGTAACAAAGGCTGGAGTAGTGGCGGTGCAGAAACACTACAATAATATCCAAGAACATCAGTCTCAAAATACAACAATGACAAACTCCACTTTGACCACTCACACACCACCGTCTGCGTCAGGGTTGACCGGCGCTTCAGACATTTAGGTTTTAGGTGGGGGGAAGAGAGCAGATGGTACGTATTTCGATCCCAGGATCAGTCCACACTTAAAAGCCTTTTTTTTCAGTGTGGGAAGGAAGCGCAGAAGCACGATTTCGAGGATAAAAGCCTTCAAAAAACGTCAATTCGATTCAACCCCGTCCTGCTTCCGCCACTCACCAATCCGCGCTTAATCTTACAATTGAACCAATTGCCCAAATTCATCCTCAATGACCTATATCGCCGACCACGACGAGGCTCCAGCCTCCTCTTTGTCTGCTGTTGATTGTAAGTCATCTATCATTTCCATTTTCAAGAATATAAACTGATACACGTCGCAGTCATTGAAGACGCGTTCAGGTCTTTGAACCTGACTCGTGTTGAGGCCCAGAATGTTGTACGTGTTCTTGTTGAAGTCATCAATCGCGCCACCAGCCCGACTCCAACTTCACCTCCTTCCTCTTCCTCCCACTCCACGACCTCAGTCGACTCCGCTGGCGCTCTCTCCGTCACAAGCTGCCCCACCTGCTCTTTTCACGGCAACAGTCTTGTCGGAGGATCTCCCTGCTCAACAGCGACGTCCACCATGGCTGTATCTATTGCTGCTGCGTCCACCGTCCGCACTCCTGTCGTCGCCCCAGCAGCGGTTCCTATCACCTCGCCCGTGGCTCCGGCGCTGGCAGCCACTGCTGTAGCCACGGTCGGCGCACCTGCCATCATAAACCCTGTCGTTAGTCCAGCACCCATTGTTAATGCAGCTGTTGCACCTCCCGTCGCCGCCACTGTCACGGGTACCACACCCTCAGTGGCTGCTCCACTCTATGCAGCCGTTCCGCCCAACGCACCGTCCAACGCTGTTCTGCCTCCCGCTCACCTTATTGTGGCTCCACACGGTTATCACGTTCCTGCTGCAAACACAGACGGCCCCTTCTATGTCGTCGCCCGCGGACGCAACATAGGCATCTTCAGCGGATGGTTAGTTTTTTTTTTTGATCATCCCCAACTTCAGTTACTGATGTGTATCACTCAGGGAGACCGTCTCTCCTTTGGTTACTGGAGTCAGTCACGCCGTATACTCGCGTGTAGCCAGTATCGCTGAGGGACACGCGAGGATAAATGCGGCCAACAACGCAGCGTTTGCGGTGTACTTGACTTGAACATTGCAGTGGCATTTTCCTCGTACTGTATCCTCTTCCATAGTGCGCTGCATGTATTTTTTGTAGAGATTTACCTGAACATAGACCTCGTTGCCCCGTCCGACCCTCTATAGCTCAGCCTCAGTGATATTGAAGATTAATCCAGAATCGGCAGCCAGAAATTTGCGACCCATGGTGTTCAAAATGAGCATTGTAGTATATCTCACTGTAAAAATGTCTTCATGTGCTGGAGCCGTGAAATTCTTCCTTTCTGCAGACATTGGAATATATTTTGTTCTCATTGCCACTTTGACCTAACTATTAAGAGATTTCAACATTTCAGGATGCTCTGTATTGAAGTGTGAAGAGTGAGTTGAGAGTGAGTATGCGTAACACTCCAACTTGTGCATACAAGGTGGTCGTCCTGACAGTAAAGAATGCCCATCTCATAGCGCAGCACTTTTTTGATTTGAATGTTGGACCATTACACTCTGTGAGGCCGCACCTCTCTGAATGTATAAACATGCTAATTAAATAAAGTGAAGGCTCTCTGCCAGCTTGAAAAAGTTGTAAGATTTCGGTGGGCATTGAGCACCAACTTGTGCATACAACTCAAATGGTCGTCCTAACAGTAAATGCTTGCCCACTTCATAGCGCAGCACTTTTTTAATTCAATTTTTGGACCATTTAAATCTGTCAGACCACACCTCTCTAAATCTCTAATCTTCCAAATTAAAGCAAGGGAAGCGTATCCGCCAGCTCAAAAAAGTTGTAAGAGGGCATTGTGGCGTTTTGTAAACTTGTACATACAACGTGGTCGTCCTGAAAGTAAAAGACTGGCCACCTCATAGCGCAGCACTTTGATAATTGGAATTTTAGACCATTGAAATCTGTCGGACAGAACCTCTCTGAATATATGAACTTCCAAATTGAAGCAAGAGAACGCTCTCCGCCAGCTCAAAAAAGTTGTAAGATTTGTATTTGGGCGTTTGGTGGGCGCCTAGAGCCAAACAGTGTCTCTTTGCAGCTGTTACGCGTTACGCGCCAAGCTCTCACTCCTTGCTTCACTCATCCAACCATCATGGGGCGTCGGCGTCTCTATCATACCGAAGAAGAGAAAGCCAAAGCTCGGAAAACGAAAGCCAAGTTATACTATGTCGCGTAAGCATGGTTTTTTCTCGGCCATATCTTCCAAACGTCAACTTACATTGTTTGCACACAGGAATCACATTAACATCTGCCGCCGCTCGCATCTACAATACAAGAAAAAAGTAGACGCAATAAAGAAAGAGAAATTACGGAAGATTCTTGAAGGTTCAGACGATGATAGTGAGATCAGGTGAGTTACTATCTCTTCACATATCATTGCAGATAATAACTGCCTCACAGGGACAATCCTCTTACTATCATCGCGAATGCCCGTGAACGGGTCGATCGAGTGACGAATGGGGCAATCTATACTTATGTCGACAAACTAGTCCTTTGGTGCCTCAAAAACCCCGAGGAAGCCGTCCAGCTGTGTGTTTTCCGAAAAGATTGTTGGCGTGAATTGATGGAGCAAGTCCAAGAGGCGTTGAGAGAGATACAGCAAGAGCATGGCTGCGGGGACGTATACAAGGAAGCTGATTTAGTAGGCAAGGATATCTGCCATGCCGTGACCCTCATCGAGGAGATACATACTCACACGGTTACGTCCCTTGATGAAATGGAGGATTGGCACTCCAGCAGGATTTTTTTGTACCAGATTTGTGCTGAAGGTTCCGAGGTGTCCATATAACTTTGCTATCTACATATGATATCTTGCAATGTAGCACAGTATTATAGCTACTAGTATTTCTCGCCAAGCTGTGGAAGAATCCATAAATTTGCCAAATATTCTGCTGTACAGTTTTAAGCCACCAATATAAGGTTGATCAATTTCACACAATACCAACTCAACCTAACTACATCTCTCTATCCCAACACCATGGGACATCAGCGCAAAACCACCACTATTCGTGCTCCTCTGGTCGTCGACAATGATACGTCATCGAGCCAAGGAGAACAGAAAAAGGTACAGATTGGCTGCTATTTCAAATTGTTGACCCTGAACACGATCGATCACTTAGGTCACGGAGACAGATCTAGTGGCCAAGCGAGTCCGAAAGCGTCATGAGGACACTACCGCAAAGCTACTCCTGCCAAGCTTTCGCGCTGCTATCCGCGAAGACCAAGTCAAGGCTTTTCTGGAATGCGCAGCGCTCATCTGGTTTCTTCGGTTTCCTGAACCTGAAGAGGGAATTCATGTACATCGAACTTTTCTCAATGACGCCGGCTATGACGACCACATCCGCCGCGAACGATGCAAAGTAAGTACATACTACATACATTCAGCTGTCTACTAAACCGGCCCTTGACGGCTTTTCTTAGGCCCTCAAAAGTCGGCTCTGCTGGCTGGCAGGAATTTTTCCAAAGAATCTTCCAGACGGCCCTGTTCCAGAAGACTCGATCTGGATGGAGGAAATGAACAAAGAGGTGAAGACAATCGCGTCTTCGCTTCGTACCCACAAGGACACATCGGGTTTGGAGGCGATCGAGCTCTGCTTGGAAGATAACCTTGGTCTGGCGAAGGAACGGGCGGCGTTGGAGGAACAGGAAAGGCTCGATGAGGAGTACACAATGCTTCATTTTTAAGACTTCAATAGTTTAGCCAGTTTTCAATGTAACACGTTCACATCGGCGCTCTTTCAAAATTCGCTGACTACAACTTACAAGGAGTTTCTAAGGCGTCTATACTTAAAAACAGCTGACCACAAACGTTTTTCCCACCACATGCCCAAGCTATCAAACAAGAAAAACTTTGTCGTCGTTCGTGTTTCCGACGATGAGGACGATATAGCAATCCCTCAAGCACGTACCGTTCGGATTTCAAACACTGGGCTGAACATCATCCAGACTCCTCGCTCCCCTCAAAAAGGCGCCATCCCCCCTGGCTGCGTTCCATCTCCAGTGTGACTCGTGGCTACCACTTTTATGATAAAACTAAGGCAGTTGCCTACAGCACTGTGTGTAAAATGCCATGGTTTTTTATGAAAAATCTCATATAAGGCTGGGAATTTGTCATTCTCATAATGCCTTGGATTTCTTTTATAACCCATAGCAAAGCATGGTGTAGGCAATTTCATTAGATATTAACCCTCTTTCATTGTCAATTTCATATCTTTGCAATGCATTTTTCATTTCTAATAGCCTGCATTCTCATTGCCTTTCATTTGAAATCCAGTGTGCTTTCATTGTATATTTCATTAGGTATTCTGTGTACTTTCATTTTCATTTCATTCTTGATGTCATTGCAATTTTTCATTACCATTTCTTAGAATTCTCATTACATTAGTAGGTACCATTTACATCAATGAAATGTGGCAGTTGCCGTGAGGCATCTTGATCAGCTACCGTGAATGAAATGAAATGATTTCATTTCATTCATGGCACTTATTTCATTTCTTTAGAAAAGGTGTGTTTCATTCATTTGCGACGATTTTTTCATTTTTTGTTTCATCCTTTTCCAGGGAAAATGAAACACCTTTTGCCTCATTCTGTTTCATTCTCACTTCTGTTTCATTCCTGCCAGAAAGAATAAGTTTGACTCTGCTTCATTCATTCCTGACAATTATTTCATTCTTTGTTTCATCCTTGCCAGAGGATTGAATATTTCATTCATTTTCAATTATTATTTCATTCTTTCTGGACAGTTATTTCAATGATATAGTACATGTACAAATAAGGAAATAATATACAAATGATGCCTGATATGGGTTGTGCCCTTCTGCAGTGGATTGAGGGGCCATATGGGGGTATTTTTGGATTTGAGGCAGATATATGCAAAGAGCTAGCAGTGGTGTTACCAAATAGGGCACTTACATTTTGTTCCCATTGATTACATAATCACCTCCCATCTCACAATGGAATGAAACACATGCACCAAAATGAATGAAACAAAAATGAGGCAGCTCAATGGCATGAATGAAGCCAAAATGAAAGAAATTCCAGTTCGTCGCAAGCAGTTCTAGTTCGTCGCTATCGACAGGAATGAAACAGGAATGAAAAACTGTTTCATTCCAACGTGGTAGCTGATCAAGATGGCCTGCAGTAACTGCCACGTTTACATGATGTAAATGGTAGCTACCAGTCCTCATTACAATATTTCATTGGGTCCTCTGGCGCTTTCATTGCCATTTCATTGAATTTTCATTAGGGTATTTCATTCAGCTCTCTGGCTCTTTCAATACCATTTCTTTGAATTTTCATTAGGATATTTCATTGCATCCTCTGGTGCTTTCATTACCATTTCTTTGAATTTTCATTAGGATATTTCATTGGGTCCTCTGGTGCTTTCATTACCATTTCTTTGAATTTTCATTAGGATATTTCATTGGGTCCTGTGGTGCTTTCATTACCATTTCTTTGAATTTTCATTAGGATATTTCATTCAGCCCACTGGCCCTTTCATTACCCTTTTGTTACAATTTCTTAAATTTCTCATTGGGATATTTCATCAGGCTCCTTGGTGCTTTCATTACTTTTTCTTAGCTTTTGCATTAGGATATTTCATTGGGCCCTTTGACGCTTTCATTACCAAAAACAATGATCATATCACATGGGTTGTTTGGGTTGTTGGGAGGGTGATCACATGACCAATTTCCCAAAATAGTCAAAAAATGAAAGTTGTAGCCCTTTACCATAGCTTCCAGAATCTGTTTGAATTATGTTCTGAAGTGCTTCCATTCTGGAGATATGAGGTAAAAGAACTTTCTCACCACCGGGTTTTTTCGACCTTTTTGCATTTTTCTTCATGAAGACAGCACCAAACAATATGATTTCAACAGATTTAGAAACCTAAGAGAAGAGGCTGCAATTATTATATTGTGGGAAAAATAACCAAAAAAGGAAGTTGCATGCCCTAAAAGGGAAATTGACACTGATAGACTGCCAAGGATTAATGATGGACCAGATATAGACTACATATTTTACTGATAGACTAACTATTGTCCACTTTCAAGACTACAAAGGTTTGTAGTGTCCACTTTTTAAGACTACCAAAGTTTGTAGTGTCCACTTTTAAGACTACAAAAGTTTGTTATATCTGCTTTTTCAGACTACAAAGGTTTGTAGTGTCCACTTTTTAGGACTACAAACATTTGTAATGTCTGGTTTTTCAGACTACAAAGGCTTGTAGTGTCTGCTTTTTAAGACCACTGAGGTTTGTACAGTAATAAATAAATAAAATAAACAGATTGGACTGGAATCCCATTCCTGCCCACTCCGGGGAACACCATTCCTGCCCATTCCGGGGAAGACCATTCCGGGGAACATTCCGGTGTACATTCCGGAATCCACCGGAATTCCACCGGAATGGAAAACACTGGAATAAACAATTTAGCAGGGCCTTCTGCTAAATTCCATTCCGCCGGAATTCCACTGGAATGACCGGATTCCTGCAGGAATAGGGGGGGCACTGCTAAGACCTCCCTGGGTTGGTGGTCGGCCAAGGGCCCTCGACTCTGGTTACCAGGGTCAGCTGGTCAGATGTAGATATCACAGAGTTGGCCGTGGACAAAAATGTATGAACATGGTCAGCCGAGACTTCACTGAGGCCGGCTTCTCAGTTGGGCCTTTAAGTTAGCAGCCGAGCAGAGGCAGACCGGGCAGAACTTACCTCCATAGTTCAAATTTTCAACTTGATCCATAGTAAATATAAAAAACAAGAGCTGCGATCGCTGCAAGTGACTTCTGGGATTTGAACCCAGGGCATACATACATGACGTACACCTCCCAGCGTAACCACTAAGCCAAGCCAACGTTGGAAGACAATGTCGGCCAGTATCTTTTACCTGCCTGCAATTTGAACCCAGGCGTCCAAGCTCGGCACTTGGTAAGTCACTGTTCTCGGCATACAACAACACATTGGTGAAGTACTTTGGCTGGTGCCGAGGCCGGGTGGAAAATAACCGAGCAGACAAGTGAATTAAATTGGCAAAAGTGCCTGGGCTGCATCTCAGGTAATAGAGCCGATTTAATATTAAATTGGTGAAGTACTTTAAGTGGTGCTGAGGCCGAGTGGAAAATAACCGAGCAGACAAGTGAATTAATTCAGCAAAAGTGCCCAGGCTGCGTCTCGGATAATAGAGCCGATTTACTATTAAATTGTTGAAGTACTTTGGCTGGTGCCAAGGCCAGGGGAATATAACCGAGCAGACAAGTGAATTAATCAGTAAGAGGT